ATATACTCTGATCTTTTCTTCGATGGGGACCCAGAAGTTGGCGATACTGCAATGGTTATCACACCAGATTCGTTAGGGAGTATACTTGGAAGCATTGAGCTCTTCCGAACGGCACGATCAAGCTGATGATGTAAGATATTGAGCTCAACTCGTGCTTCCTCGACATCATGCCAAATCTTATCATAAGTAAATAGTTAGTTAGTGAATAGTATAACGAATAGATTACATAACTGCGTACCCGACTCAAGTGAAGGTTTACGCCGCAGTGCTTTTGCAGACGCTCAATCCAATGCAACATTTCCTTCACCAGTGTCTTCGTTCGTCCCCCGTCTGAGTGCTGAACGTCATCCCTATTTGCGATATTGTACGTGCTATCCAGACGCTCAAGCACTCCAGCTTTGTCTTTATCTGTGTCACTGTTCATCGATTCAGCGTCATTACTTGAGCTTTCCATCCCCCACTGGTACTTCTGCACAGACAACTCCGGTGTTTCATCCACGATACGATCCCAGTCAGGTCTCGGTGTGTAACATGTTCGGGTTCGCTCAAAAGCTTCCTGAAATTGTTCGTAGTTAGCTCGAATATCCCTCAATGAAGCCTCCGACTGTTGCTTTGTCTGCACATCACGTGCATATTGAGCCTTCAAGTTAGAAGTCTCTTCTTCGAGCTTTTTTATCTCGTCTTCCAGCTGCCGGTTCTCAACTTCGGCGTTTTGAACTTGTAGAGCTACTGAAACATGTTGTTCCTGCCATTTCTTCTCCTCCATGTGTCGCTTTAAAGGAGCGCTGGACACGAAATCCAAATAGAGCTGCTGACTGCGGATCTCTCGGAGTTGTGCCTGTTGCGTATCTAGCTGCAGTTCTAGCACTTCACAGTCACGTTTCAATTCTTGTTCTTGGTCAATAAGTGAAGCGTAATCTTGTTCCAGAAGATGCACAGCACGGCGCTCGCCCTCAATTTCTGCGCGGTTATAGGCATGTCGTAAGTGAAGCTGTGTGAGTTCACCCTCGAGTTTCTGTAGCTGGGTCGATAAGTCTCGTTCCAAGGATTTCTCCATAGCAAGCTGCGTGGCCAGACGCCTGCGTTCTTGTTGTTGCAACTTCACCTTTTCCTGCACATCCGCTACACGTGAGAAATACTCAGTCACCCCGTTCTTCGCAGGAGCGGACGAAGTAGAGACTTCGGATTCCACGTTAGAATCTTGTTCTAGCTGGTGATAAATCGTAATGTGAAGAACTTCTTGAATTTCGACAAGAAGGTTTTTCAGGGCACCAGGTTCCATCGACTGCTGCCAGTTCTCAAGCGCCTTGAAACAATGAGCTGTACGCAACTGCTTATGACGTAAATCTGTTGGCGACTCGCAAAAGTTTGAGGTAGAATCGACAATACGAGATCGATTAGGACGCTGACGTGATTGATGCTGCTTGGACTTTGACCGGGGAGAGGGTGCGAAGCGAATTCGTGCAGTTTGGCTTCCTGAACCTGTTTTGTTGTTTTCATCTCGCATTTCACGGGCAGTATTGGCATGCACAGGCGGTAATAAACTCGAACGGGACTGGAACGATTCGGCCTTGTTTGAGTTACCTTCATGAAGTGAGTTGAAATTCAACTGAGGTACAGCTGAAGGTCCATTCCCAGCGACGCAATCCACATCTTCACTGCGTTCTTCTGACGACAGCTTCATCATTTTGGAGACCTTTTGAAAAAAAAAAAATAATGATCCTACCTCTATGAATAGTCTAAAGATCGAAACTACCTGGAATTTGAGTTTTTGTTGCGTACTTTACGTAATTTATGAAAAGGACACATGATTCAAACGTATCCTAGTGTTCTACTGCTGCTGGTTCTGCTACTTCTTCGAGTGCAGACTTGCTAGCAACTCGAGGTATCTTACCTTTGCGTTTCCATTGAGACCGCGTCATATACTGACGATAGCATTCGTGAGGATGGCGTAGCTGCTGGAAAATCTCCAAATGCGTCGACTGTGATTCCTGCATATCATTCGATTCATGTGGCTTTTGAAGTAGATCGAAGAATAAACGGAGGACAGCATCACTCTTTTCCAACTCCGACTCCAGCCGCCGAGTGAGTGCTTCATGACTTGCTCGTTTTCCGCGATTTAAATTACGAAGGCGCTCGAAAAGGTCCAGATTGTGTTGTTCTTCACGTAGCAAAGCACACGAAGGTGCGTCACCGTCATCACCAGCATTGGCTTGGCTTTCGCTCCCGCTCTTGACATTCTCTTCTTGTACTTGGTTGTTGTCACTTACCGCCGAATTCGGGCGTGCCGTGACGTACAGCGGGGCT